ACCACACATATGGTAGCAAAATTATTCTTGGATCTGAAACTTAAATTTCCATTCAAGTTTTCCACAAAAAAGTCTCCAGATGAAGATCAATGAACAGTTACTTTATATTTTTAAGGGCTTCTTGCAGTAGAAGATAAGTTTCACTGCCTTGCTAAAAAGATTTATATGTCTATGCATAAATTTAGACAACACTTAGATCTTAATGTGAAGAACTGATGCTTGAATCATGTCTACATTTTTCCCATTCTCCACATTTTTCCTAATTAAGGCAATGCTTAAGAAAGAAAATACTTTGGAATTTTAATCTCATGGGCACACACTGAATTTCCAGTACTTATGATATAGGACACTCTACTTCATTCCTACCTATTACAAGTCACATATACACTTTCATAAATGCAACATTTATCCTGCACAGAAAAATAATTTGAATTCATAATTCAAGAAATCATCGCCTGCATATCTATAATAAACAAAAATTTTTCTAAATAATTATGTAAAACTAAAAAGTAGTTATAGCTTTAAAAAATCCACTGAAGTAACAGTTAAAATGTGAACTAGTTCAAACATTCCCATTTGTTTGATATTTTAATATATTTCACCATGAAGTTCTCCATCTAACACCTTAAGACAGGATTAATGGAAATACTAAGCTTATTTTAAACAAAATAGAATAAATGAACCACATAATATTACAGAAGTATAAACAGAAATCAAAGACTTGTTACTGTAACATTTAACAATAAAATCACTCTTCTGAAAGGATTGAAAATCAATTTAATCAATGATTTGATGCTTGAGAGAATTTCTGAAAAAAACTTACAGACTAAATGAGAGGTGTAAGCTCTCTAGTTCTAAAAAGTCTCCTTAATATGTCTAAGAATTCTAATGTAGCTTAGTTTAAGAAAACCAAATCCAATTAAACCCTGGCTACCCTGGGCAGCTCTCCTAGCTAGGACTACCTGATTCTAGGACTGCCTCTTCCCACAAACTCCCATCTGGGTCATTTTTCAAAAGCCAGGTCCACCCACCTTTTTGTAGGAGACCTAGGACCTCTGGGCATTGGCTCACTTATCGGTTGGCATTTTAATGGTTCAGTAATAAGCAGAATAGCATCAAGCTATGGAAAGTGTCTGCAAAAGACTGAAGGTTTGTGTACTTCCAAAATTCAAAGGCTGGCATCTTTCCAAAACATAACCAAGCCAACACCCTATCTTATACTCCCTAGTCTCCAGGACTAGGAGAAACAAGCTTCTCTTGTTAGGAAGGCACTCAGTTAATGGTAGTTTGTTATAGTGCCTGAACTAAGACAGCACCTTCATTTTAAGGTTTAAGTATATAGCTTGCAATTATTAAAACTGGCGATGAAACCATGTACCTTTCCATAAGCAACTTATGCTTACTTTATTTATAATCAGTTACTGTGCTACTAAAGTAGTTCTAGCTTAAGTAAAATTAGTATTATATACTTAAATGGTGCATCAATTAAACATGAATGTTTCTACTCAGTTAACCATTGATTTAATAGTTACTACAGTCACATTCCACACTATGTAATGGAAACATATTTGGTTGAAGGAGTATTAGCTTCAGCAATTTTTTTCTGCATTTATTCTTTTAAGCGTCTCTTCTTTTTGCTACTTGACAAATTTAGTTTCAATTAAAACTGATACTCTCATCCTGCAATACTACACTATTTAATGGACATGTGAAGAGAGTTTATATTTTCATATGAATAAACAATCTTTAAACTAAAAAATGTATCCATGTCTATTTCTAATCTTGGTCATGATAGGGTCTATTTTACCAGGTATACTTCCTATCTAATTTAATTAATGAATGATCCAGCTATGCTTTGGAATTCTGAAGGAAATAAGTATATAAACACTAAATGTAGGAAAAACTATTTTAATATTTTTGTTGTAGCTCATCTTAAGACAGTTCCTTGTATTTCTTTAAGAATTTTCCAAAACAGGGGGCTGGAGAGATGTCTAAGCAATTAAGAGCACTAACTGCTCTTTCAGAGGACCCAGGTTCGATTCCCAGCACCCACATGGAAGCTAACAACCATCCATAACTCCAGTTCCAGGGATCTGACGCCTTCTTCTGACCTCCACAGGCATTGCACGACACAGGTGCACTCACACACATACAAGCAATATGCTCATACACATAAAATAAAAATAAACATTTTAACAAGGAATTTTCCAGGAGAGCCAGAAATGGCGGTGCATACCTTTAATCCCAGCACTTGGCTGGCAGAGGCAGGTGGATCTCCATCACCTGTTTCTACCATTGCAAAGTTACCCACTTTTAGACCTTTACCAAAACAGGATGATACCAGCACCATGCCCCTGATATTCCAAAACTATGAGCTAAATCTATTTCCTTTATAAAGTTTCTAAGTTCAGGTTTTCATCATAAGAATGAAAAAGGAACTACTATAGTCAGCCACTATGCTACAGATGCCTGAAGATCCATCATCATGCAAACATATTCAGTTCCCTTTCTAATTATATGCAATGACTAAAATTGAAACATATAACACAATTTCAAGTAGGTTTCTGTAATATAGTTGTGCATGAAGACATGAAAATTAATGTACTGAAAAACTTCAAAATCATAAAAATTCAACAAAAATCATTAAAAAGTAGTAAGACAGAAAACTGACATACAGAAGTAGAAAATAGTTTTATACACCTTACTTTCTTTGGCAATAAAGCATTCCTCCACTTAAATTTCAAATTTATAAGAAAAAAGGAAAGAATATAACAAATGCCGACACTCAGACTCAACATCAGTGAGTATTTTGCTATGATGACCTCATCAACCCTTCCCAGCTTTCCTGTCCCCTATTCCAATTGTTTATCTTTTTATTTATGAAATGCTTTAATCCCAAGAAAGCCCCCTATAATCAAATATATTAATACTTGTATAAAAAAGAAATGATACTGTTTATTGTCTTATAAAGTAAGCCACCAAGTGAATTCAGAACTGTACATTAAGAAGATCACCCACCATGATCAAAGTGGGACTTAAGTCCCTAGATGCAAGAATGTATACAAATAAACAATACACACCACATTAACAAAATGAAGGGCAAATAGGTATGCTAATATTAACAGAGGCAGAAAAAGCACATAATAAGATTTTCATCCTTTCATGATAAAGACTGAAGAAATTAGTTATGGAAGGATATACTTAACACAAAGAAGGCTGTAGATGACAATCACACTACTAACATACATACAGACATATACGGAAAAACCTAAAGAAGCTCACAAAAACTGTAAGAATGGCTAATAAATACAGGGAAATTGCAGGATACAAAAGCAACAAGTATCTCTACTGATGTAATAGTGGCACTTTTATTTCAGGGGTAATCAACAGCTGTCTAATTGAACTTGGGGCCTGCTCAGTAGGAAGGAATCAATGCATGGTACTGTAAACATAGCTAAGAACACATGGTGGGAGACGTTTGGGTAATAGCTATTTTTTTTTCCAGAGAGCCTCTTACTCTGTTGCCCAGGCTGGCCTCAAATTCACCTTCCTTCCTTAGTCTACCAAGTACTGGGATTACAGGCATGTGCCACCACACTCCAGTTTCACAATAAATTTATTTGACCCTAAAGGCACAGGTAACCAAAGAAAAAATAAATAAATTGTTTTATATCAAACTAAAAAATGTTTTCACTATGCAAAAGAAAAAATGTTTTTCAATATTTTATTTTTTTTATTTTATGTGTATTTGTGTATTGCCTACATGTATGTAAGTGCACTGTGTTGTGCAATTGCCACAGAGGTCAGAAGAGGGTGTTGATCTCCCGGAACTGGAGTTACAGACAGTTGTTAGCCAGTTGCTCTGCAGGAGCAGCCAGTGCTTCTAACTGCTGAGCCATCTCTCCAGCCCCACAAAGGAAAAATTTTTTGAGAAAAAAAGAAGAGAGGTTAAAAAGTTTTGTAAACCATACATGTGATGAGGAGCTAATCTAAAATATATAAGGAACTCAAACACCTCAACAGCAAGAAAGCAAATTACCAGATTCTAACACAGCAACACTATAAACACACATTCCCCCAAAGAAGCATGAACATGGCAAGAAGTACATGGAAAACCATTCTACATCACCTATCATCAGGAAATGCAAACAAAAACCACAACCAGCTGCTGCTTGACACCTGTTATGAGGACCACTATCAAAGTGCTGAAAGACTTGTTGGCCCAGGGTGTGAGTGAAAGGGAACCTGCTGTCCACTGCTGGAAGCAATGAAATTAACACAGCCAGGATGGGACACAATGCAGCTGTTCCTCAAAAAGTTAAGAACAAAACTTCATCTAACAATCTTACTACTGAATATGTGTCCAAAGGAAGTGACGTCAGCATATCAAATAGATGTCTGCATGTCCACATTTGTTGCAGTATTTTTCACAATAGATATGACATAGAATCAAATTAAATGTTTACGACAAATGCATTAATGAAGACATATACACAATGGGATACCATTCAGCCTTAAAGAAGGAAGAAATCCTGTCACTTGTGAAAACGTTGGTGAACATAATAGACAATTTATTAAGTGAAATAAGCCAAACACAGAAAGATAAATCTCACTTATATGTGAAATCTCATTTAACTTCTAGGTGCAAAGAACAGAATGGTGGAAGGAGCAGTTATAAGATTAGGAGATTCTGGTCAAAGGACGTAGATTTTCAACTACACAGGAAGAAGGAGTTCTAGAAACCTTCTGTACACCACAGGGACTAGAATTAACGACTACATAGTATATTCTTGAAATTATTCAGGGAATAGATTTCAGTATTCTTTCCAAAAATAACTGATAAGTATGTTAACTAGCTTGACCTAGCTATTTCATGACGTACACATGCTCAAAACACTATTTTGTGCATCATACATTAATACATCCTTTGTCAATTACAAAATAAATTTTTTTGGAAAAAGATAAAATACAAGTTGTACTTAAAATGAAAGTATACATACCTTGGCTTCCGAAATGCCAAACTATATTGTTGGCAAGCCAGGCCCACAGTGGGCGTATAAACAATGGGCATGAATTTTTCAATATCAGACATAAGCACACTATAAAAAAGCTTCTCATTTCTATCTTGAAGATCCATTAATAGAAGATACCTGTGGGAATTAGACACAATTAGACCTACAACCATCAGAGTCATGAAACGGCTGTTTAGAAATCTAATTAAATACTTCTCAACCAAGAATAAAGTACTTTTTTAGTCAAATAGAAAACAACTAATGAAGTCAGGCATGATAACAGATGCCTATAATCCTAGTATTTAAGAGATTCAGGCAGAACTTTAAGTTTGAGGCCAGTCTGAGTTAAATAGCAAGTCCCTATCTTAAAAACTTAACAGCAGGGGTTGGAGAAATGGATCAGCGGTTAAGGGCACTGACTGCTCTTGCAAGAGGACATGGTTTTGAGTCCCAGACCCACATGGCAGCTATGAACCATCCTTAATTACAGTTCTAGGGGAATGCGAAGTCCTCTTCTGACCTCCGCGGCATTGCACAACATGGGTGCATTCACATACATGCAGGCAATACACTCATGCACACATAATAAAAATAATAAAATATTTTTAAAATTAACAGTAACAACAGCAAAAAATTTAGAAATATTCTTCAAGGAGTGGGGAGATGGCTCAGTGGGGAAAATATCTGCAATACAAGCCTGAGGAGCAGAGTTTTGATCTCCAACATCCACATAAAATCTGGGCCCAGTGATATGCATCTGCAGCCCCAGCTCTATCGGTAGACAGGCAGAGCCCCAAAGCTCACTGGCTGGCCAGCCTAGTCAATCAGTGAGCTCAAGTTCAGTGAGAGACTGTGTCTCAAAAGCTAAGGTGGAGAACTACAGAGGAAGAGATCCAACATCCTCCTCCAACCTCCACCTGCGCACACATACATGCACACACTCACACACACACACACACACACACACACACACACACATATACACCACCACACTAATAATATTCTTCAACATCTCAAAGAGTGAAGAAACATAAATTTGATCACTATTATTCAAACATTTCAATCATTGCCTAAATAAAATAATTTTATTCAGTACTTTGAGACTTAGTCTGTATTTTATAATAAAAGGCAGATACAATGTCACAATAGAGTTTAATCACTAATTTTAGCAAATAGAAAGACTTCATACTTTAATTTGTACTACTGAACAGCCAAAAGAAATTAACAAAGGAATGAAGTATTTTCCTTAAAAGTAACTAAAGAGGCAAGTTCCAAAGACTTTTCTTACTACTTGTATCTAATGCCTTTTCTGGGTAGAGGCATTTCTGATCAAGTTCTCTTTCTGCACACGAACCTTTTCATGTTACAAAGGATGAAACTCAAACTACTTTGTGCATTTGAAAAGAGTCTTGAAAACCCGTGTTCAATAGCCCCAGCAGCCCTTTTGGATTGATTTCCAGCATGGATTAGATATCACCCGAGTATGTCATTTAAGGAACAAATACTGGAAGCTTGGTCTCCAGTGTGGCCATGGCGAAGGTACTGGGAATTTCAAGAGATGAACCTAGCAGAAGGGAGTGGGTCACTGGGGATGCTGTCCTCAAGAGGGACTAACAGTTCCCAACAGAGTTGCCTTGAGAGCAGTTACTTTACAGGATATTTTTTCTTTTTTTTTTGTCAAGAATATTTGTGCTTACATACAAATAATGTGTGTGTGTGTGTGTGTGTGTGTGTGTGTGTGTGTGTGTATGTAATATGGGAAGATAGCATTTTCTTATAGACAAAAAATTCATCTTAAGAGAAAGCAGTTTCTCTTATGAGAATACAGTTTAGGAAAAAAAATATTTCATTCAAGTGATCCTAAACAGCAAATGCTTTAAAAAAATCACGGTGCTAACAAGCAAATTCTCCTCAAATGTTACTAACCACTCCAAATCACTAAATATTTTAACTTTTTCTCTTACAAAAAAACCAAATAAGCTAGAGAATTTCATGAAAGAAATATGTACAGGAATGTGTTACCTGTCAAAGTCAGAGTTCAGACGCTCAAAATTCTTAACTACTCTAAGGACTTGGATCTCCTGACTGACGAAGCAAGGTGGCAACAATCCATGAATGTTCAGCTGTTGTCTTTCTTCTAGAGTAAAAGCCAAGTCCTATGGAGAAAGGAAAACAATGATTTGGAGAGGGGGGATAAAAGACAAAAACACATTCACACAATCCAATGAAAACTTAAAATTCAAAAATCAGGTCTCTAACTGTAAGAACACCCAGGCAACTGGGAATTAACTAACCATCTGCATCCTTTTCTACAGGCACTGTGATGACATAGACAGGGGTATGAAGAAACTGCTTAAAAGCATAAAAATGAGAGGCCGGGGAGATAGCTCAGTTGGTAAAGTGCCTGCTGTGCAAACAAGAGGACCTGAACTTGGAGCCCCAGAATGCACATAAAAGTCAGGCATGGTAGCACATATCTGTAATCACAGCACTGGAGAGTGGGGAGACAGGCAGATCTCCAACTTGCCAGCCAATCTAACCAATCAGTGAGTTCTGGCATTAGTGAGAGTCCCTGTGTCAAAAAATAAGATTGAAAATGAGAGAGGAAGACATGCAATATCGACCTCTGGCCTCCACACGCATATACACAAATGCACATGTGCACGTATGTGCACACACATACACACAAATCACACACATACATATACACATACACATAATCATAAAAAAACCCACAAAATGAAATACAACCATTAATGCCAGAAAATGTAAAAATGAATAGTTGTTCAATGTTAAAATTATAAGTAGGACAGCTTAGTCTGTGTTTGCATCTCTGAAATAGGTCAGGAGATAGATACCTTGCATGATTCTGGATCTGTTCCAACAGTCCTGTCTCAGGTTATCTCCTATAATCCTTACACACTCCTAGCTACACTAAATGCCCCATTGTCCAAATGCACCACATGCTTTTATTCCTCCATTCATCACACTATGATCAAAAATGTTCTTTTTCCCTGCCTCTCATCAAGATTTATCCCAAGTATCCTCTTTTACTATTCCTATGTTACATTATCTATTTACATAAACACGGATGCTACAGCACAACTGCAATTATAAAAAGCTATGGAAGTCTAGAACAAGCAAATAAAATACAAATAATGGGCTGGTGCCAAAAACAGAATGGACCGAAGAGATTTGCTGGAGTACACTACAGGAAGTAAAAGCAAAGAAGCCTTATAGTCATTAATAGAAAGAAAGAGTTGGTAGACTGGATTAAGGCGCTCCTAGTGGAGAAACTGACTCCTAATGAGCTTCTTTGAAGAGACTGGGCTGTTGGTTATTTGGGTCCAGCCTAAGTGCTGACACAGCATGATGGCTGGCATAAAGGTAAGAATGTTTGTGTGTCCCCCAAATGGTCATGGAGAAATCCTAACCTTCATGCAGGTTATGAGGATTCTCTGTCCTAATAAATAGGATTAACGTTCTTATAACAGAACTAGGAAGTAGGTCAACAGACACTAATCTTCGGTGCAATGATTTTGTACTTCCCAGCCTTCAGAACGGCAAGAAACTCATTTCTTGTGTATTAGTGTCCTTATAAGAGAACTATACAGTAGCTCAACAGACATTATTCTTCAGTGTGATGATTTTGTGCTTCCCAGCCTTCAGAACAGCAAGAAACACCATTTCTGTGTTTTAAATACCCCCAGTCCATAGTATTCTATCACTGCAATCCAAAAGGACTAAGTCAGGTTTGTACCTTGTGATTTCTACTGTTTCTGGACAACCTTGATGGGTAGGAACAAACACAAACTTCACTGAGAGTCTCTACACTCATTTCCTCTGTCCCTGAAAGTTCTTACAATAGAGAATAATGACTCCTGAGTCCTGATTTTATAAGAAATCAATAATTTATTGCATATACAAAATAGAACATTTTATACATTCATCTTTAGAAACATTAACGTTTTAGGAACTATAAAACTGCTGTTCAGAAAACTGACTAGCATATTATTTCTGGTGAAATGACTCGTAAAATTTAAAGCAATCGGAAAGGGGTATTTCTGTGAGAAAATTATCTATAATATGGTAGATATAACTCATTGCTCAAGACAAAAATGTCACAGAATAACTCCTTGGAATGAAACAAAATTATGTAATAGGATATATATGAAAAAGAAGGAAGAGAAATTTTTTTTCTAACTAAAAATAGAAAAATAGGTGAAAATTTTAGGGGGAAAAACTCAAAAAATATACAAATATTGTGGAAAAACCATAAACAATGAATGTTAAACACCTTCATGGTGTACCTACAAAAATACCAACCAAAATATTGATTTTCTGAGAATAACGTTTGTTGTCAAATGTACTGAGATATACTCCTTCATTCAAGTAACAATGGCATTCAGCATCTTTAATTGATATAGCTAGCCAATTCTTTTATAAACGTTTTCCAATGTCTGCTCTGAAACTTAACTCCTGAATCTAACAGCCACAGTATCTTATGCCGTGTAAATGAGAAAGCCACATGGAAATCTTCTGACAGTCTTTGATGTTTAGTATGTTGAGTAACTGCAGACTCTTCTGTACTGTAAGCCAAATAGACAAAAAAGAAAAAAAAAACTTTCTGGTCAGAAAACAGGAATTGGGCTAAGTTAAAAAGTCCTATGGTTGGGAAAAACAATAAGATTCCATTAGTAGGTTATATTCTCTGAGTTGAAGAAAATGAATATAGAAACTTAAATCTCAGAATCCTTGAAATTTAAAAAATATGAGTATATTTAATCACGGTTTTAATTTTTCATAATAAGCATAGTAATAGTAATGGGAAATATTTTACAGAAATTTATGAACAAGTCATTATATCTAAAACTTAACAGTGAAATGATTCAAAGAAGTTTTCAAAGATTTTTTGCATTAGTGTTATCCTGCAGGGCCTACACGACAAAGGACAGTGATTTCAGAGCAAGTACACCAGTTCGCTTTCATTTGACTTCTGCCAAATCTTTCATGCAGTTGAAAAGATTATCTGTCTACAGATTAGGTTTCCAGACCACCTGAAACTTTAATTCTAAGAGGATCCTCACACACTTTAAGTTCACTCCTACTTTTCTCCTTTTGTTTCTTTCACTTTTTTTAACTCTTCAAAAAATCTTTTGCACTACACCACTAGTCAACAGAATGGCATTTGTTTCACAGCAAACAAAGCAACTACTCCTCTAGTTTCTACTAGTTAATAAGCTATGTCTATCTTCTTGAAAAAATACACTGTTAAGGAGAAATGAGAATTGAATTGCTGGTACAATGGGCTTATATTAGAAGTCTCTATGCAAACATAACTAGAAAAAAACTTTGGTAGGAGTAATTCAGAAACTTACCAGAAAAACAAAACTCCTAGGAGCAGAAGGCCCAGCAGGCAGTTATAGGGTTCCACACCCATATCAATAATATTTTAATTTAAAAATAGGTGCAAAGAAATGAAGTGAATAAGAGTTAGTATCAGTATAAAATATGGTCTAGTTGACTCATTCTCGGGAAAGAAAGAGTTGATTTTGGATGGACATGTGCAGCGAACAAAGGAAAAGATCACAAGGGGATTAACTTGGGTTACAAATCAAATGAACTGCACTAAATCTACAAGCTTGAGAAATTCTTACGTACAGCAGAGCTACTTATCTACAGCTGATGATATTCAGAGTCAGTATAAATAAACTAGTGTTATATATCCATATCACCTCACCTACTTATGACCACTACAAAGCCCATAAACAAATGACTGGTGTTGGCAACTCTGTTAGTTTACAGTCTTGTTTGATTTCCTTTCTCTGGATCCTAAGAAGATTGTCCTTGATCTTGAAAAAAAAAAAAAGAATATTTGACTCACATCACATTGTATGAACT